CCGGATCCGCCCCCCCCCCCCCCCCCGCGGGGTTTTGGGGTGCGGGGGGGGGGGGGGGGTGGAGGCAGATGATTAACGGGGATCCCGGTTCCGCCGGTTTATTGCCGTGGCGCAGGGTCAGGCGTCGGGGACGCCGCCGGCACACGGCACCCGCCAGCGCCGGGACCGGCGCAGCCGCAGCTCCAGCCACCGCTGCGGCCCCCCCGGCGCGGAGCACCGGGGGACGGCACCCCCCGGCAACCGCGCCGGCTCCGCGGCACCGGCTGGGGGGGTCCCCGCTGCCGCCGGCGCCCCCCGCCCGCCCGCGCTCGGCTCCTGCGGGCGGGCACCGGTGTCCGAGCCTGGACGGGGAGAGGAGGGGGGAGTCGGGGGGGGGGGGGGCATAACGGGGCCGCCGGCGGGGAGGGGGGGGGGGGTCGCCCCAAAAGGTGGCTCTCGCCCCGCGCTCCCCAACATCCCCGCCTGTGCGTGTGTCCCCCTCCCCGCCCCGCCGGTGACTCACAGCAGCGGCGCAGGGAGCGCCAGGGGCGGGGGGCCCCCCCGGCCCCCCCGGCGGGCTGCTGCAGGAGGCAGAGGATGGCCCCATCCATCTGCTGGAAGACGCGGAGGGCGAGCAGGGCCTGACGGGTTTCGGGGTCCAGCCCGGAGCGCTCGGAGCCCACCAGCTCCCGCACCAGCTCGAAGTCCTGACGCAGCTGCAAGGCTCCCTGCAAGCTTCGGAGACCCGGGGGGGGGGGGGATCACCGTTAGCCCAAACCCCCCCCCCCCGGCATTACCGGCCCCGCCGCCGTCCCGCTACCTGAACTTGATCCTGCGGGTCAGGATGTGATCCATCCAGGCCTCCAGGAACGCCGTGGTCGCCCGGGCCAGGGCGGGCGCCTGGGCGTCGCGGGGCAGGAGCCGGGCGACCTGCAGCACCCTGCCCAGCACCGCCTGCGCCGCCGCCGCCGCGTACGCACTGGGGGAACGGGGAGGCTCTGCGGGGGGCGAGGTGGGGGGGTGACACCCTGCCTGCCGCCCCGCCTGGCACCACGGAGACACCCCCCCCCCCCCTGCAGCACCCACCGGCGCGGGGGCCGCCCCTCCAGTGCTTGCCCAGCGGCATGGTCTGGTCGAAGATCTCCGCTGACAGCCGCTTGCAGTCCGCGGAGAACATCCTCAGCACGTCCCCCGAGAAGAGCTGGGGGGCAGAGCCAGGCTGGCACAGCGGCCCCCCCCCCCCCAGTTCCCCTGCGCTGTGCCCAGCCGGAGCAGAACCACCGGGACCCCCCCGGCCCGGCCCGGCTGCCGGAGGTCCCGGTGGCCGCGGTGGGGCTGTACCTGGATGCTGGTGGCCGTGGAGCGGATCTGCTGGCACAGCTGGTGCTCCTGCAGGGACGGTGGGGTGGGGGGCAGCGCCGGGGGGGCGGCCCCAGGCCCCGGGAAGATCCCGTTCACCAGCACCACCAGCGCGTCTGTCTCTGTCCTCAGCAGCTGGAGGGGAGAGGGGTGAGACGAATCCTGCCCAGTGGCCAGCCCCATGGCCAGCCCTACAGCCAGCTCCAGCCCCCAATCCTACAGCCAGCCCCAGAACCAGTCCCACAGCCAGCCCTAGACCCATGGCCAGCCCCATGGCCAGCCCTACAGCCCCCAATCCTACAGCCAGCCCCAGAACCAGTCCCACAGCCAGCCCTAGCCCCATGGCCAGCCCCACGGCCAGCCCCACAGCCACCTCCATCCCCCAATCCTACAGCCAGCCCCAGAACCAGTCCCACAGCCAGCCCTGGCCCCATAGCCAGCCCCACAGCCAGTCCCCAGCCCCACAACCAGCCCCACAGCCAGCCCCTAGCCCCATGGCCAACCCCACAGCCAGTTGCCAGCCCCACGGCCAGCTCCAGCCCCAGCCCTCCAGCCAGCCCCAGCCCCACAGCCCGTCCCCCAGCCCAGCCTCTGCAGGGAGGGGGGCTGCCCCGGGGTGCCCCGTCCCCCCGTACCTGCAGGTCCCCCTGGGTGAGGAGCAGGAGCTGGGGCAGCGCCCGGGCCGCCAGGTACCGGCGGGCTGTGCCCACCAGCCAGGAGCCGGCCGCCTGCGCCGTGGCCAGGCAGCAGCCCAGCACCTGCAGGCGCAGGCAGGGAGGGCGGCCTGGGGGGGGCAGGGGGTGACGAGAGGTTCCCCGGGACCCCCCCCGGGGTGCCTGTGTGCGTGTCCCCCCTCCCCAGACCCCCACTCACCGGGCGGGCAGGCGGGCAGGGCCCGCAGGCAGCGCAGGGCGAAGGCCAGCGCCGGGTAGAGCCGCTGCAGGCTGAGCGCCGGCCGGCTCCGCACCCATCCTGCCGCCGGCATCGGCTCCCCCGAGCCCGGCACGGACAGACCCGAGCCCAGGGCGCGGGTGAAATCTGGGGGGAGTTGGGGGGGGACACACACACACCGGTCAGCAGCCCTGCACCCCCATCCCACCTGCACCCCACACCCTGCACCCTGTGTCCTGCACTCCCACCCACAGCCCACACCCCGTACCTGGCACCCCATACCCTGCGCCCTGCACCCCCCACTCTGCACCCCATACCCTGCACCCCCCTCCCACCCGCCACCCTGCACCCCCAGCTCTGTACCCCACACCCTGCACCCTGCACCCCCCTCCCACCCACACCACCCACCTCGCACCCCACACCCTGCACCCTGTACCCCCCTCCCGACTGCACCCCACATCCCACACCCTGCACCCCGTACCCTGCACCCTGTACCCGCCTCCCACCTGCACCCCACACCCCACACCCCACACCTCTGTCCCAGCTCCGGAGGACGCCGCGGCAGAGCAGGCGCAGGCAGAGCCCCCCCAGCTCCTCCTCACACTCCTGGGGGACGCGGGCTGCGGGGGGACAGGGCGTGAGGGCAGTGCACCCCGGGGATGCCGGGGACCCCCCGCCACGCACACCCCAGCCCCCCCCCCACCTACCCTGGGCGAGAGCGCGGCTCAGCTCCCACGCGGCTGCCGTGCCCGTCCCGCAGTGTGGCACCCCCAGGCTGTGCCCCAGTGCGGCACCAGCAGCCCCCCAGAAGAGCGGGCGGTACTGGGCGTGCAGGGCCTCGGCGGCCGGCGCACGGCACGACGTCCGGCCCGCGGCGCCCGTGTCCGGGCTCTCCGCCGCCACCGGCTTCTCCAGCTTGGTTCCGCGGACACCACAGTGCCAGAGGGTGTCGGTGGAAGCCACCAGCACCCCCAGGATGAGGCCCATCAGCTCCTCGTCCTCCCTGCACAGCGCCCGCAGCTCCCCCGCCAAGCCCGGCGGCTCCTCCTGTCCCGAGCTTCCCGCTGCACCGCGCTCCGGGGGCCAAGGCACCGCGGCGTCCTCCCAGCCCGCAGCCCCGTCACCGCCGTCCCGCGGCTGCAGGAAGGGCCGGAGCCGCTCGGCCGCCAGCCGGCCCCCGCTCGGCCGCCAGTATCCCCAGCACCCTGCCCGCGGGGAAGGCGCGGGGGCTGTCGCCGGCGGCCCCGTGGCCACCGCTGGGCAAGCGTCGGGCGACGCCCGGCTCTAGGAGCCCCAGCGCCTGGTTGTAGATCTCCAGCCCCTGGAAGAGGTCGCAGAGCAGCGCCGGGGCGGGGGGTCCGTGCCCCAGCGCCCGCAGCCGCGCCTCGGCATGCCGCTCGGCCAGCCGTGCCGCGTGCAGCGCCGGCGGCAGCAGCGCCCGCCGCACGTGCGCCGGCGCCTCGCACCCACGCAGCCGGCCCCAGCGCCCGGCCTGGGCCCGCAGCTCCCGGCACAGGTCCCGCAGCGGCGGGGCGGCCCCCGGTTGTCCCGCCGGTGGCTCCGGCAGCGCCAGGAACCGGCGGAGGAGGCGGGAGGCGGCTCTCAGCCAGCGGCCGCAGCGGCGGGTGAGGCGGAGGCGGTGGCGGTGCCGCAGCAGGGCGTGCAGGGCGGCAGCGCGCTCGGCCAGGCGGGGGTGGACGGGGTGGTAGGAGAAGGTGCCGGTGCCGGGCGGGGGCCGCGCGTGTGCCCGGAAGGTTTGGGTGCGGGGGTCCCACCAGACGCCGAGGCAGCGGCGCAGCCCCGGGAGGCTCTGCTCCAGCGGGGCCAGGAAGGACGGCGCTTCCTCCTCCTCATCCTCGCTGCTGTCGTTGCTGTCGGGGTCGGCGTGGGCCGGTGCAGCCGCGCAGCGTGGCCTCGGCCACGGGCAAGGAGCGGGACAGGCCCCCCAGGGAGCTGCTGTCTGCAGGGTGGGGCAACGTGGGGGGCCGTCCCCGCCCACGGGCACCCCGGGGAGCCCCCCGCCCCTCCCGGCACAGGCTGCTCCCGCCGGGTGCAGGCGGCTCGTTAGGCGTTAATTACACCTTAATTAGGCAGCACTGTGTCACCCGTCGCGCCGCCAGACCCGTCAGGGTTTCCCCTCCAGCCCCCCCGGGCTGGGCACTGGGCGATATGGGGTTAACCGGGGGAAGGGGCGGGGTTACTGCGGGGAGGGGGCGTGGTTTCTGGTCGAGCTGGCTCCGCCCCCCGCCACCGCGGGGTCGCCCCACCCGTGGCCACGCCCCCTCCAACAGCCGACGCCCTTTCAACAAACCTCCCCCCCCCCCCTCAACCGACCACGCCCCCCCGGGGGGCGGGGGTCGTTGTCAAGGAGACGGCGGGAGCGGCGGCGGGCCCGGGGCCGGTGGCACCGGGCCCAGCCAGTGTCCCCGGTGAAGGGCAGAGCCCGGGGGTCTCCCCGTCCGGCCCGGGCCTCACCTGCAGGCGGGGCTCTGCGCCGCCACGCTCAGGGCTGCCGTCCTCCATGCTGGGCCGCCCCCGGGGGCTCAGGCCTCGCCAGCGTTAAACCCGGGGGACCGGGCGGGGCTGGGAGCGGACGGCGCCGCCGCGCCCGGCGCGGGGAGGCGGGGACGGCGGCAAAGCGCCGCGGAGCCCCGGTGCCGCCCGGCGCGGGCCTCACGGGCCGCCGTCCTGCCCGCACCCAACATGGCGGCCGGGCAGCCTCAAGCCCCGCTTCCGGTCGGCGCCGCGCCCCGCTTCCGGTGCGCCTCCAGCCGCGCTCCCCGGCAACATGCGGGCCGCGGGCGGGACGCGGGGACCGGACCCCCCCGGGACCGGGGCCCCGCCCCCCGCCTGCCCCTGGGGCTGCGTGCCCGGCCCCGGCGGCTGGAGCGGCGGTACGGGCCGGGGGGGGTCCCGGGGCGGCGGGAGCCGCGCTGCGAGCCGGCCTGCCGGGGCTCGGAGGGGCCCGGGACCGGGGCTCGAGGGTCTCGGGGGGGAACCGGGGCCGGGGGGGCGGCGGCGGGGAGGAGCCCGGGGCCGGGGGGGCGGCGGCGGGGAGGAGCCCGGGGCCGGGGGGGCGGCGGCGGGGAGGAGCCCGGGGCCGGGGGGCGGCGGCGGGGAGGAGCCCGGGGCCGGGGGGCGGCGGCGGGGAGGAGCCCGGGGCCGCCCCGCCGCCGCCGCGTTTCGGTTTCGTTTCGGTTTCGTTTCCGACGGCTCAGGGCCGGCTCCGCTCCCCGCAGCGCCGTTCTGTCCCCGGCACTGCCAGCCCGGCCCCGCTGAGACCGACCGCAGCCGGCGGCAGGTACGTGGGAACCGGCGGCGGGGGGTGGCTGGAGCCCCGGGGGGGCCCGGCCCGGTGCCGCCGCAGCTCCCGGTGCCGCCGCAGGTCCTGGTGCCGCCGCCGCAGCTCCCGGTGCCGCAGGTCCCGGTGCCGCCGCAGCTCCCGGTGCCGCCGCAGCTCCCGGTGCCGCCGCAGGTCCTGGTGCCGCTGCCGCAGCTCCCGGTGCCGCAGGTCCCGGTGCCGCCGCCGTCCGCCTCCTGCCAGGGGAACCGCAGCGCGATGTGGGCAGTGCCCGGGGCCCCGGGCGCCCTCGGCCGCGGTGAGTCGGGGGCGCGGGGGGGGCGGCCGGCGGGGCCGGGGCGCGGGGTTCCGCTGACCGGCCCCCGCTTCTCCCTGCGCAGTCCCGGGCACCTGGCACTGCCCCGGCCGGGTGCGGGAGTCCAGCGAGGAGGAGGAGGAGGAGGAGGAGGAGGAAGAGCGGGTCGCCCTCGGGCAGCCGTGGGAGGTTTCCAGCGAGGACAGCGGCCCCCCCTACAACTTCTGCGGGTTCAAGAAATCCTTCCTGTGCACCGAGCTGCCCCCCGCCCGGCCCCCCGACAGCGCGCTCCAGGGGAAGCTGCAGCGGCTGCCCGCGCCCTGGGGGCACCCGCTGACGGCTGAGGTGAGGGGCAACCCCCCCTGCCCAAAACGGGCCCCCCTCCGTGCCCGAAATTGCCCCTGTCCCTGCCCCCTCCACAGCCGCATCGCGTCCTCTGCTCCCTCTTGTCCTCCGTTTTTGGGGGAGTGGGGGGGGCTGGCGGCACGGGCTGGGGGGGCTGGCTGGGGGGGGGCTGGCTGGGCGGGGGGCTGGCAGTGCTCCCAGCCGCGGCACAGTGCCGGGCACCGGCGCTCACGGCGTCGCTCCCCCCCAGGAAGCCGAGCAGAACGCGCGGGAGCTGGTGGCAGAGGAGGAGCGGATGAAGAGGAAGGCGGAGAAGAAGAAACTGAAGAGGAAGGTGGGTGTGCCCCGGGGGGGGGGGGGGGGGGTTGCCCTGCCAGCTCACCTCGCCGTTACCCCGAGAGGGGGGCACATGCTGGGGGTTTGCTCCCACCCCCCCAGCAGCGCCGAGGCAGAGCTGCGGCGTGGGGCCGCTCACGGCTCGCTCTCCTGATTTCCAGAAGCAAAAAGAGCGGAAAAAACGTGAGAAATTAGGACAGGAGCTGACAAACAAGCAGGAGGCCGAGTCGGTGAGCAGCTGCCAGCCCCTGCCTGGCCGGGGCGGGGGGGGGGGGCTGCGGCAGCCGGGCCCTGCCGCCCCCGGGGGGTCCTGGAAGCGGGATGGGGTGGGGAGGGGGGTGGGCCACACCCGCTGCCCCGGCTGCCGTCTCACCCCTGCCCTCTCCTTCCAGAGCCCCTCGTCCCTGCGCAGCCCTGCGGGCGCTGGGCACCCCCAAAACAGCAATGCTGAGGAGGGGGAGGGCTGGCCGGGCCCCAGCCGCTCTGCAGGACCCCGGGATCCCTCGGGAGTGGAGGGAGGCGGCCGGGAGGCCAGGGTGGAGGAGATGGAGGTGAGGGCTCCTGGCGTGGGGGTGCCCCACGGCTGGGCCCAGGGGTGCCCCACGGCCAGGCCCGGGGCTCTGCCCGCCCTCGCCCACCCTCCCTCCCCCAGGACGAGCTGGACTTGAGCTGCACCTTCGTCTTCAAAGCCCGGCAGAAAGCGGGGGTGAGGCTGCCGGCCCCCGCCAAGGAGAAACCGGCCAGGACGGGCACTGCGGAGCCGAGCAAGAGGGCACCGGGGAAGGTGAGCCGGGGCCCCGGGGAGGGGGACCTGACCCCCCCCGGGCAGCCAAACCCAAGCTGCCCTGCCTGCCCCCCCCCGCAGGTGCCCCCGCCCCAGCCTGCTGTGCCCCCGGACGTGAGCGTGGTACAGCAGAGCCTGATTCTCGCAGGTCAGTGCCCCCCCGGGCAGCGAGGGAAGGTGGGGGGGGCATGTGGGGGGGTTTGGGCCAAGGCCCCCCCGCCGGCAGGGATCCAGGTTGTCCCTGGAGTGTCTTTCCTTCAAGGCTGGGTGACGGGAAGGCGATTCTCTGTTTTGTGCTCCCCGTGTCCCCGCTGCAGGTGGGGGGAGCATAGCTCTGGTGACTGGTGTTTACTGGGGGGGGGGGTCAGTGGTCAGCAGCGAGCAACACTTTCCCCACAGGTCGCGGCAACGAAGCTGCCCAGAAGGGCCGCTACGCCGAGGCGGTGCAGGCTTTCACCGAGGCCGTGAAGCTGAACCCCAGGGAGCACCGGTGGGCGACGGGGCCGGGGAGCGGCGTTCCTGGGGGGCTGCGGGCCCTGGCCAGCAGCGACACCCCCCCCCCCCCGCAATCTCCCCCCAGGCTGTTTGGGAACCGCTCCTACTGCTACGAGAAGCTGCGGCGCTACGAGGAGGCTCTGCGGGACGCGCTGGTGTCGCTGGGGCTCCAGCCCGGCTGGCCCAAAGGCTTTTTCCGCAAGGGCAAGGCGCTGCGGGGGCTGGAGGTACCGGGGTGGGGTGGGGGGGATATGGGGGGGTTATGGGGTGCTGCGGCAGCCGGAGCTGAGCCCCCTCTGTGCCGGGCCCCAGCGCTACGCCGAGGCCGCCAGCACCTTCGAGGAGCTGCTGCGCCTGGACGGCGCCGACGCCGACGCGGCCGCCCAGCTCGAGGCTTGCCGGGCTCTGCTGCGGGTGAGTCCCTGGCACCCCCAGGCCCCCCCCCACCCACCCGCCACCCCCGCGAGGCCTCACCTCCTCTCCCCCCACCTTGCAGCAGCGCAGCACCCACGGCCGGAGCAGCCCCGGGGGGGTCCCCATGTCCCCGTCCCCGCTGGAGGCCGGGGAGCCACCGCTGCCTCCCCCCGGTAAGGGACCGTGGTGGGGGGTTTGGCTTCGGAGCTGGCAGCCGGGGGGGGGGCTGGGGTCTCAGGGTGGGGTTGGGGGGACATCAGGGAGTGCTGTGCTGCGCCGTGCAGCCGGTGGAGCCCCCCCTCTCCCTCATTCCGGCAGGGGAGTGGGCGCGCGGGAGCTGCCAGGACGCTGCCACGGGCGGCTTTGTGACCGTCGGGAGCTCCCGCAGCCAGGCGCGAGGCCAGGGCCGGCCCGTGGCCAGTAGCCAGCAGACGCTGCCCCCAACCCATCCCGCCAGGTGGGGCCGGTGACTGGTGCTGACTGGGGGGGGGTGGTGGGTCCCGCAGCTCCCCCTGGGCTGCTGGGAGGGGCTGGAGGTGACACCGGTGACAGCGGTGCGGTTTGGCAGGGACTGCTACCCCCTCTGGGTGGGGAACATCACCCCCAGGATCAGTGAGAAGGTGCTGCAGAGCTCCTTCGGCCGGTGAGTGCTTGTGTGCTGAGCCCCCCAGTGCCCCCCCGGCCCCACATCACCGTCCCAGTGCCCCCCCCGGCCCCACATCACCGTCCCAGTGCCCCCCCCGGCCCCACATCACCGTCCCAGTGCCCCCCTGGCCCCACATCACCGTCCCAGTGCCCCCCCCGGCCCCACATCACCGTCCCAGTGCCCCCCCCCGGCCCCACATCACCGTCCCAGTGCCCCCCCGGCCCCACATCACCGTCCCAGTGCCCCCCCGGCCCCACATCACCGTCCCAGTGCCCCCCCCCGGCCCCACATCACCGTCCCAGTGCCCCCCCTGGCCCCACATCACCATCCCAGTGCCCGTCCCAGTGCCCCCCCCGGCCCCACATCACCGTCCCAGTGCCCCCCCTGGCCCCACATCACCATCCCAGTGCCCGTCCCAGTGCCCCCCCCGGCCCCACATCACCGTCCCAGTGCCCCCCCCCGGCCCCACATCACCGTCCCAGTGCCCCCCCTGGCCCCACATCACCATCCCAGTGCCTGTCCCAGTGCCCCCCCCGGCCCCACATCACCGTCCCAGTGCCCCCCCCGGCCCCACATCACCGTCCCAGTGCCCCCCCGGCCCCACATCACCGTCCCAGTGCCCCCCCATTCCCGTCCCCGTTCCCCGGTGCTCCTGGCCTGGGGTGTGGGCCGTGTGAGGGAAGCATGGGGCGGGGGGGGGGGGCAAGGGATGGGTGGGTTCTAATGCTTCGCCCCTTCCCCCCAGGTTTGGGGAGATCCGCTTCATCCGGCTGCTGCCGGAGCGGCGCTGCGCCTTCATCAACTACACGCGGAAGAAGGCGGCGGAAGCGGCCTACGCGGCCATGCAGGTGAGCTGGGGGTGGGGGTCACTGCGCCGGGGGCCCCCCCAGCTGCTCAGGGCTGGATGAGGGGGTCTGGCTTGGGCCCCTCCTGCCCTCAGCCCTGCCCTGGTGGGGGCACTGCTGCCAGCTTTCCCCTTCTTCCCCCCCCCTCTCCCTTTTTCTATCATCCCCCCCTTCATTTTTTTTTTTTCTTCCCCCCCCCACCCTCCCAGGATGCTGAGGTGGAGGGGAACAGACTGGTGCTGCAGCTCAAGCACCCCTCCCACGCCACCCCCTCCCACTGACAGCACCCCAAGCCCTGCAGTGAGGTGGGTGCCCTCCCTGGGGGGCTCCTGTAGCCGGGCAAGGGGGGGTCTCCTGAGCCAGACCCCCCCCAGCCTGCTCTGACCCCTCCCCAGGGCCTGGGACCTGAGTGGTGCCTCCGGGCTTTGCTGCCCAGGGAAGGGGGGGGGGTGTCTGACCTTAGAGACCTCCTGTGCTCCCTGCCAGGGACTGGGCAGGGGGCTGAGCCTGTGCGTCCTGTGTCCCCCCCCCACTGCCTCTGTTGGGGCCCCACGGGTGGGGGTCCCACCCAGTGCCTTCTGGGGGGGCTCTGCTGCTGCCCCCCCCGGGTGCGGAGCTCGCTGATGGGGGGGGGGGGGTCCTGCCTGCGCTGGGTCCCCTGGGGCTGGAGCCCACCCGGGGGGGCCAGTGCTTGGAGGGGGGGGCACAGGCCTGTGCCCTGGCATGGCCGCTCCCCTGGGCGCTGGCTGCGATTTGTACCCAATTTGGGGTTTGTAACCAAATTTGGGGTTCTTAATAAAACTGAGAGCCAGTGCCGGTGTCTGTCCTTCCTTTCTGCTGTCTGTCCTGCCTTCCCCCTCCCCGGGCTCTGCCGTGAGGGTTCAGGGGGCGGCTGGTCCTGGGTGGGGGGCTGTTTCCAGATGGGGGTGGGACCGACACGCTGCTCCGGGGGCTGCCATCGAGTTCTGGTACCGCCCCCCCCCCCTGCCCCGGTACCGGCGGCCGCGGGGCTGGGCCAGCCCCGAGGCGGCGGTGATGGCCGCAGGCCCGGGGGGGGGGGGGGGGCAGAGCCCCCCGGTAATGTCATTTGCAGGTGCCGGGAGTGGCGGGGGTGGGGAGGTGACAGGCAGGCCATCAAGTAGAATTTGATTAATATGCAAATAGGCAACAGGGAGAAGGAGCGCGGGAGACAGCGAGTAATTAATCACTAGTTAAAAGAAATTAATACCAACAGCAGAGGTTGTCAGGAAACAGCAGCCGAGTTAATCATCCGGAAAATTGGAAGAGGAAAAGACGAGCGGGGGGCGGGGGGGGTGGGGAGGGGCGAGCCTGCCAGCGCCCCGAGGCCGCGGGGGTGGGCACGGCCGGGCCGGGGGTCCCCGGGGAGCGGCGGCGGGGGGAGGGGACAGGCGGCCACGGTGGGTGCTGGGCCGGGGGGGCAGCCCCGAGGCCGCGGTGGAGGTGCTGAGCTCCCGGTGCTGAGTGGCCGGTGCGGGCTCTGAGCCCCCCCCCCCCTCCTCCGAGTCATCTCGCCCCACGCTGCCCCACGGGCTCGCGGCGGGGCGGGGGGTCGGGGCGGGGGGGGGGGGGGGAATCCCGCCAGCTGCTGCCTCCGTCAGCCCGATGGGAACGAGCTGCCGCCGTGAGCTCATCTCCGGGGCTGGCCCCGTCCCCCCCGCGGGACACACGCGTGTGCACGCTCACACGTGTGCGTGGGTGTGTGCGCTGGAGGGGCCTGGAGGGTGCTCCCGCGGCCCCACGCTGTGCTCTGCCAGGACCGAGCTGGGGGTGACACGGCCGCGGGGCCACCACGGGGGGCCGTGGGAGCTGCTGTCGCGGGGGGGGGCTGGGGTTTTTGGGGCCAGCCGGAGGGGGGCACAGCCCGGGAGCCCCCCCCCCTCCGCCCTGATCCTGGGTGGGAACCCCACGGCCGCGCGTGCAGCACCCCGGGGAAAGGGTGGGTGCCAGGCCGGGGCTCCGGAGCGCGGGGGGTGCCGGGGTGGGGCAGCCCCGGGGATCCCGCCCCCCCCCCAATCTCTGCCCGGGGTGTCTGTTCCTGCCCGTGGGGTCTCTGCACCCCCAGCCCCTCACCGTGCACCCCGGATCGCCCCCCTGCTTGGCGGGGGGGGACTCGGGCCGCGGCAGCCGCGCACGCCCCACGCGTGTCGGCCCCGGGGCCGCTCCTACCTGTCAAATTAAAAGCAATTCCCCCCGGGGGATGCTCAAAGGCACTTTCAGACGAAATCTCATTTCTCCCCCTCCCCCCCCTCGGCCGGGCGGCTGCGGCGCTGGGGGAGGGGCGGGACAATGCAATTAAAACCGGAGAAAATACCGGGGGGGGGGGGGGGGGGGGGGGGGGCTCTGCCTTCGGAACTTCGCACCGGCGTAATTAGATCAGCGCGGGCTCATATGGATGCTGGCGGGGCTCGCAGCCGCGTCGCGCATAGCTGCGGTGACAGCGGCCCCGGGGGGCCCCCGCCGACCCCCCCCCCACACCCCGCGGCCTCCGGCCGCCTCGCGTGGGCCGTGCCCTGCGGCCCCGGGCGGGGGGGGGGGCTGTCCGCTGTGGATCTGCTCATCGGAGGGGGGGTTGGGGGCTGAGACATCACCCCCCCGGGCTCCCCCCGCTCCCTCTGGGGCGAGGCCGGAGCCGCTCTCGCTCGTCACACCGCTTCGCGTGGTGACGTCACCGGGGCATGACGTCACGAGGGGCAGTGTGGACTTCGGTGCGAGAGAGGCCGAGGGGGAAGGAAGGGGAGCGAGGTGCCGACACCCGGCGCTGCTCCGGCCCCACTCGGGTCATGCGTGGGGCAGCGGCGGGGGAGGCGCCGCCGGAGTGGATCCGTCACGGGAGGACCGGCGCTGCCCCTCGTCCCCGAAGTTTCCCCCCCCCACACCTCCTCCCGGGGGTCCTGCGCCCCCCTGCAGCCGTCATGAGTGTGCGCGCGTGGGGCTGGAGGCACGGACATAGCACACACACACACGGACTCATGGACACCCCACCTCCCCCCCCGCCCCCGCAGCCGGGGCCGGTACCGGGTGACCCCCCCGGCCGTGCCGACCCCCCGAAGGGACCCTTCTGCTCCGGGGAGCGGGGCCGGCGTCACGGGGATGGGCACGGCCGGGCCGGGCGGCGGCCCGGGGGGTCTCGGGTGCACTGGCGAGTCCCCCCCCGGCCCCGGTAAGCCGGCAGAGCAGCCCCCGGTGTGTGCTTACGGTCCGGGGGGGTGCGGGGTCACCATCTGTCCGTCCGTCCCGCCGCCAGAGCCGCTCCGCGCTACTTAATAAGGTGTCGCCTTTATTCCAAATATTTACACCCAGGCAGGCCGCGCCGGGCCCCTCTCCGTGCCCCCGGCTGTCGGGGCGGCGGGGCCGCGGACGGGTCGGCGGGACAGCCACGATAGAAAAGAAAATTTTTCTTTTTTAAAAAAAAAAAAAAAAAAAAAAGGAAATACGGGCAACAAAAATAAAATAAAAGCGAAAAATTGCACCAATCCCCCCCGGGACGGGGCAGCGCGGCCGCCCCGTCCAGCCCGGGGGCTCGATCAGTCTCGGTGCCGGCCCGGGACCCCCCCCCGCCGCCTCAGTCCCCCACGTCGATCTCCTCCTCCGAGAGCTCGGCGGGCGGCGGCGGCGGCGCGGGGCCGGGGCCGGGGCCGGGGCCGGGGCCGGGGCCGGGGCCGGGGCCGGGGCCGGGGCCGGGGCCGGGGGGGCGCGGGGGGTCGGGCAGAGCCGCCAGCTGCTGAAGGGCGGCGGGGGGCAGCGCCTGCAGCGAGGCCACGTCGGCCCGGAGCTCCTCCAGGTCCCGCTTGAGCTTGGCGCGGCGGTTCTGGAACCAGGTGATGACCTGGGCCGTGCTGAGCGCCAGCCGGGCCGCCAGCTGGTCCCGGTCCGCTGGGGACAGGTACTTCTGCCGCAGGAACCGCTGCTCCAGCTCGTAGATCTGCTGGTTGGTGAACGCCGTCCGCGACTTGCGCCTCTTCTTGCAGGGCGGGCGCTGCCCCAGGGCCCCCAGCGGCTCCCGACCTGCGGGGACAGCGGGCTCAGCACCGGCACCGGGCACCGGCACCGGCACCGGGCACCGGGGACACCCGCACCCACACCGGGCACCGGCACCCACACCCACACCGGGCACCCGCACCCACACCGGGCACCGACACCCGCACCCACACCGGGCACCCGCACCCGCACTGGGCACCGACACCCGCACCCACACCGGGCACCCGCACCGGCACCGCCGAGCCGGGCTTAGCTGGGCCCCGCCGGGCCCGTCTCTGCCCCCGCCACCCGCCGCCGCTCCGCGCCGACCCCCTCCCGGCCGTCAAACACCGAACCCGGTTCAACCACCCCCAGCCCAGCTCGGCCGAACCGAGCCGTGCCGAGCCGGCCCCGGCTCAGCCATGCGAACCGGCCCGGCCCCCTGACGCCGCCCGGGCCCGGGGCCGCTGCCGGGTCCCCGGTGCCGGGAGCCCTGAGCCGCCCGGCCGCTCCCCGGCCCCGCCGCTCCGGTCCCCGCCGGAGCCGCCGCCCGCTGCGGAGCGGAGCCGAGCCCCCGCCGCGTTCCTCCGGGCCGAGCCCACCCGTGTCCCGCCGGCGGTCCCGGGGCTCCGGTCCGGCTCCTCTCCCCGACTCGCTCCGTGAGCCCGGCCCGCTGCCGCGGGGATCGCACCGGGAACCGGGAGCGCAGCCCCGGGCGGCGGGGCCGGGCCGGCAGCACGAAGGGCGGTCGGTCGCCCGGTCCCCCGCCTGTGGTTTCGCTCAACGGTTATTCGGGAGCCCCGGTGCCGGCGGCCCCGGGCCCGGGGCTGTTCTCCGGGGTCCGGTCCCCGCCGCCGCTCTCGGCGCCCCGAGGGCCCGATCCGGCGCTGCTGCCGGTGGAGGAGAGAAACCTCCGGTGAGACGCGGGCCGTGTCCGCCGGCGGCACCGGTAACCGGGGATCCCCGCTCCCCGGGGACCCCGCCGGGGGCTCCGAGCGGCTCCGTCTGTGCAGCGGCCTCGGTCGTTCGGTCCCGGAGCCCCGGGATGTCCCGGCCGTGTCCGTGGGTCTGTCCGGGTAACGGGGCTTTACCTCAGCCGCGGAACCGCGAGCGTTCCAGTTTCGGTCCATCGGGGCGAAGAGGATTTTTTTTCATTTTTTCTTTTTCCGTTTATCACGGGAGCCCCGCTCTGCCCGGATGTGTCCGTCTGTCCGGTCCGTCCGGGTAACGGGGTTTTACTTTAATTACTCGAACCTCCATCTGTCCCCTTTCTGTCCGTCTGTCCGTGGGTCCCGGTTCAGTTCTCCGGTGGCCGCGGCCGCCCCCGCCCAGCCTGGCCGGGACTGACGAGAACCCCGCTCGGCCCGGCCGTGTCCGTCTGTCCGGCCGGGTAACGGCGTTTTACCTCCATTCCAGGAGACCCGATCGGTCCCGTTTATGTCCATCTTTCCTTCCGGGTGATGGGATTTTTTTCGTTTATCGCGGGAGCCGCGCTCTGCCCGGCCGCGTCCGTCTGTCCGGCCGGGCAACCGCTTTTTTTTTTCGTTAATTACCGCAGCCCTGCTCCGCCCGGCCATGTCCGTGGGTCCGGCCGTGCAACGGCTTTTTTTTTTCGTTAATTACAGAAGTGCAGATCCACGCGGCCATGTCCGTTTGTCCCTCCGGGTAATGGGGTTTTTTACCTTAATTCCGGGAGCCCCGAGCTGTCCCCTTTCTGTCCGTCTGTCCGTCTGCGCAACGGCTTTTTTTTTTTCGTTAATTACAGGAGCGCTGATCCGCCCAGCCGTGTCCGTCTGTCCGTCCGGTAACTGGGGGTTTGTTAATTACCGAAGCGCCGCTCGGCCCGTCCCTGCCCCGCCAGGGAAGGGAATTTTTTTTTTTTTTTATTAATTACAGGAGTCCGGCTGTGACCATGTCCATCTGTCCGTCCGTGTAACGGGTTTTTTCGTTAACCGCGGGAACTGAGGTTTGCCCTTCTCTGTCCGTCTGTCCGGCCGGGTAACGGTTTTTTTGGTTAATCACAGGAGCCCGGCTCTGTCTGTGTCCGCCTGTCCAGCGGGGTAAAAGCTTTTTCAATAACGGCGAGAGCTGCTCTCTGCCCATCCGTGTCCGTCTGTCCGGCCGGGTAAAGGTTTTGTTGTTTTTTCTTCGTTAATTGCAGCAACGCCGCATTGCCCGTCCCTGTCCGTCTGTCCGGCCGGGTAAGGATTTTCTTTTTTTCGTTAATCACGGAGCCCCGCTCTGTCTGTCGTCCCGATAAGGTTGGGGTTTTTTTTTCGTTAACGGCGGGCGCCCTGCTCTGTCTGTCCGTGTGTCCGTCCGTGTTAGAGATTTTTTCGTTAATCGCGAGAGCCCCGCTCTGTCTGTCCGTGTCCGTCTGTCCAGCTCGGTAGGGTTTTTTTCGTTATCGGCGGCCGCCGCGCTCCTCCGCCCGTGTCGGTCTGTCCGCCCGATGAGGATTTTTGTCTGGGGCGGGCGGCGCGGTCCCGGTTGCCGCTCGGTCCGTCGGTCCGTCCGCCCGCTCTCACGGCGGGTTTCCCCGGTTCGTTCCCGCGGGGACCTCGACCCGCCGGGCCGGGCCGCCCGCGGGCAACGTCCGTGAGCGGGGAGCGGCTGCCGAGCCCCGCGGGAACCGCGGCGGTTCCCCGGCCCCGCCGATAACGGGTTTCTGCGAGAGGCCGAGGCCCTCCCGGAGCCGCCGTCCCCGATCCCCGCCGCCGGAGCCCGCCGGGGTCGGTAACGGGTTTTTCGTTGCCGACGGGCCCGATCCGCCGCCGTTCTGCCGCTGCGCTCGGTCACGGTCACGGTCACGGCTCGGCGGGGCCGAGTGCCGCCGTTCCGCCCGGTGCAGCCCGGCCGCCTCCCGGGACCGATCCGCTGCCCGGGACCGCGGCTCCCGAGGCCCGAGGCCGGCTCGATCCTCCGGCCCCCTCCCGGTAAAGCGGCCGGACCCGGCCCAGTCGGTCCTCCCGGAGCCCCGGGCTGCCCGCACCGGTGTCTCGGCCCCCGGTCGCGACTCACCCACGGCTCGCTCCGTCTCCCGGTGCCCGGCTCCGGGCCTCTCTGTCCCTCCGGGCCGCGGCCGCCGGTGAGGAGCCGGGGCTGCCCCGGCCGGCCCGCCGCGTCCCCAGGGCGAGCACCGACCCCTTCCCGGCCCGCGGCCGCCGGGTCTCTCGGCGCCGGGACACGAAGGAAACTTACCGGGGACACGCGAGGAGGGACCCCGGCCCCGGCGCGACCCCCCGCCGCCCCGGCCCCGGCACCTGCCCGCCGCCCGTCCCGTCCTCCCGCCGTCCCGGCGGAGCCCCCCGCGCCCCGGTACCTTCGGCCGCCTGCAGCACGCCCAGCTCCAGCCCCTGGAAGGTTTTGCTGGCGAGTTCCTCCAGCGCGCAGAGCGGCGAGGACGGGGCGCAGCCGCCGCCGCGGGGCCCCGGCGCCTTCTCGGGGAGCCGGGCGGGGGGCGCGGCGGGGCCGGGCCCGGGGGGGCTCCCGCCGCGGGGCCGCCCCAGGATGTCCTCGATGCCGAAGGGGGTCAGCGGCTTGTTGGAGTTGGCGGGCGGCGGGAGCTGGTCCAGGGCGCTCCGCCGCCGCCCGCCGCCCGGGGGGTGCAACGGGGGGGAACCGGCCGCCTCCCGCGCCGAGGTCATGACGCGTCCCCGCTCCCGCACCGGGGCCGCCTCAGCACCGCGCCCGCCTCATCCCGCCGGGGTCCCCCCCCCCTGCTCGCCGCCGCCGTCCCGCCCGCGCATCAAGCCGCGGCCGCACTTAAACCCCGCGGGCGCTCCCGCCCCCTCGGCGGGGGCCCGGCGGCGGCGGCGGCGGCGGCGGCGGCGGCGGGGAGCGATCGGTCTCCCGGCGCCGGGAGCCGCTCGGTGGGGCTGGGCAGCTCCGCGCCCGCCGCCGCTGCCCCCCCCCACCCCCCCAACCCCGCGGCCCCGGTGCCGCAGCCTTAAAGACCCGGGGCCGGGGCGGCAAATTGGGCACCGGGAGGAGGAGGAGCCATCGATGGGGAGAGGGGGGGGGTGAAGAGGGGGGGGCACCGCTCCCCCTCCGCCGCCGCTACCGGGATGAAGACGGGGCGCAGCGCCACGCCTCCCCCTTGTACAGCGATTTTAATCCGCCCCCCCCCCCCCGCTCCCGGGAGGCGGCCGGTGGGTGCCCGTTGCTCCCCCCACCACCCCCCCCGCCATCCTCAGCGGGGCTTTTACCGTCGCAAAAAATTTATTAGCTCCCCTGCTCTAAAATGCCCCATAAAAGCGCAGGGGCCGCCGCGTCTGGGAGTGATTAGGCCGCTTCGGGTGGGTTTTGGGTTTCAGAGCGCGGCCCGGCCATAAATTCCGCCCCCCCCCCCCTCGCCCCCCCCCCCCCGCTGCCCTCCCTGGTACAAATAGCTCCGGGATCCCGATCGCTTGTAAAAAGCCCGGGGACGCCCGCACACGCAGGTGAGCCCCGGCTGCCGACACCGGGTCCGTCTCTTCCAGCGGGATGGGGACCAGGGGGATGCCGAATCGCCCCTCATCCCCCTGGTCCCGATCCCGCCCAGTGCCCCCATGGGTCTGCTGCTGGGATGCTCTGGGGCTGGCGAGGGGACACTGGGGGGGACACACACACAGGGTGACGGTGTGGAGGGTGCAGGGGTCACGGCGGTAATGAGAGAAAATGAACCTGGGGGCGGGGGGGCGGCGGGAAAACCGTGCCGGGCTGGGGGAGCAGGTGCAGGGGGACCCGGCAGTGCCGGTGCCGGGAGGGGTTGGGGGGCTTCCAATCTTGCTGACAAAGGCAGAACGCGATCCCCCGGCTGGAAATTGGAGTTAGACAAATTCAACCTTGAAATTTCCCAGCAGCCGGAGCAATTAAACGCCGGAGCGGGGCGGGGGCGGGGAGGGGTGTGTGTGTGTGTGTGTGTGCGCGCTTCGGCAGCCTGGGATTGAACCGATTTGGGAAAGATTTGCAGATTGCTCCCGGGAAGTGCCGGGCCGGCAGCGTGGCTGCGGTGCTGCCGGCCAGGCCCCCACTCCCACGGGCACACAAGGCCCCGCGCACGTGTCTTTTGTCCTCGCGGGTGGGCTCACCCCCCTGGCTGGTGGCAGTGCAGCGTGGGGAGCGGGGGGAGCTGCCGCACGTGCTGCCGGGTCCCGATGCTTCCCGGGGGACGGGGCCTGTCCCGGGGTGCAGGTGGGCCCCGTCCCCTGCCCCGTTCCCACCACCCCGGGCTCAGCTGGGCCCCTGGGAGCCACGTCCCCCCCCCGGCCACACCGCACAGCACGAGGGCACTGGGAGGCCCCGGGCACCCGAGGGGAAGGGGTGGGGAAGGGGCGCAGACAGTGCACGGCCCTTCTCGCCCCCGCCCCAGCCCCGTGGGGTGGCCAAGCCCGTGCCCTGGGCTCTGTCACAGCTGGTGCGCCATGACACGCACTGGGAAATCGCTGTTCAGGGCAATTCCTTGTTTCTGTGCCGATGGGGGCTTGTGGCTGCCCTGCTCTGTGGGGCAAAGCCCCCCCTGCACCTCCAGCTGCCAGGGGTTGGAGCCCCGGCCGGGCCCTGGGCGTGGGGCAGGGCAGGCAGGAGCCAGGCTGGGCCCTGGGCGGATCTCCAGCTGCAGTGCTCACCCTGATGGGGTGGGACATCACCCCTGCCCCATTGCCCTGCCCCATCCCCCCTACCCCATTGCTCCTGCCCCATCCCCCTGCCCCATCGCCCTGCCCATCGCTCTTCAGCAGTTGGGGTGCATCCCCCACGCAGCAGCCAGGAGCCCGAGGATGCTCCCGGGGAGTGGTCCCAGCACCTCCTTCTCTCCTTGACCCCCCCACTTGTTCCCCATGAGCTGCCCAGTGAGCCCAGGCCCCCGGGGCGGTGCTGAGCCCCCGGTAGCCCACTGCAGGCAGGGTGAGGGCACGGCCACGGCCACGGGCACAGGCATGGGTGTGGGTGTGCTGCCCACCCCTTCGGCAGGCCCACAGCCCCCCCGGTCCCCAGCCCCAGCACTGGGTGAGCCTTGGGCGGGGGAAGTGTCAGCTCCAGCTGCCGGGAACACAGGGTGGGAAACGCTTTTCACCCCAAAGCAGGACAGACGGTGGAAAACAAAAAGAGACCTCTGAATTTTTGCAGGAACATTGGAGTTTCCTGCGGAGCGGGGCCGAGCGCCCTGCGCTGGCCGGGCGCCCGTGGCCGGCGGGGACGGTGACGGGCACGGCTGCCCGGATGGGACCAGGGGCACCCCAGGGCAGCACACCCCGGCGAAGCACTGCCAGCCCCGGCTTGGCTCCCACGCCTCCGTCCCGCAGGGGCTCAGGTCCCCTGGGGGGGTCTGGGCCCATTGCTCCCCAAGCCCCCCTCAGCCCCCCGTGGCTGCTGCCAGCCCGGTGGGGGCAAGCTGCAGCACCTGGATGGGCCAGGGCTGAGCCCCTCACGCCCCTTCCCCCTGCAGCTGTGCCAGGCTCCGCACCCCCCAGCGCCTGAGCACATGTGTGCACGTGTGTGTGTGTGGGGGGGTCTGTGCATGCACGACGGGTTTGCACATGTGTGAAGGGGTGTCTGCATGCACGAGGGTGTACACGCTCTGGAGACCGCCCGTGCCAGTGGCTGGGGCTGCCCTGACCCCCCCTCAAGACCCCCCCATCTTGGGGACACCCATGGCTCCAAGCACCAGCAGCTCCGGGCACCCCAGCTCAGGGGCACCCACGTCAGGGGCACCCAGGAACAGGCTGGCAGGACGCCCCACACCACGCTGGGGTGCCTGTGTTGTGCCAGCAATTCCCCGTGCCGGGGTAACGCGATTAGGGGCGGGAGGCGGTGGCTCAGCCCGTTAATACGCTTACACCCCGGCACCGCGCTCTGCCCCTGATCTATTATTTAGCGGATCCATTTCAATAACGCGGCTCCGTGCCGAAGCGCCTGGCGGTAACTCGATTAGGGGCGCTCCCAGCCCCGCGCCGGAGCTGGAGCTGCAGAGCAGTTTGCACATGGAAATTGCTTGCAAATGAATTTTCCTTTAATAAGGGGAATAGCTCGGTGCAAAATTAAACCGTCAGTAGCGGAGGCAAGCGGGGCATCACCGGGGGAGCCGCTGGCAGCGCCGCGCCCCGTGCCGGGGGAGGAGACCTGGCCAATTATTGGCAATAAATCCTGACCCCGCTCGCGGGGCCGGGGGCCGCGGGCGAAGCCACGACTAATGGGATTACACCTCGCCCCGGTAAACGGGGATTAATGTGCCGGGAGCTGGGAGGATGCCGGGGATCCCCCCCAGGGGCTGTTGGCAAATGATCTATTCATTAACACGCGCCGACCTCGCCGCGCGCGCGAGTGCGGGGCTGACCCCGGCTTCATTACGCGGCGAGCGCAGAGGGGAGCGGTGGCGGGGACGGGGACGGGGACAGGGACGGGGATGGGGGTGGCTCGAGGGGTGGTGTGCTGGGGTCTCGTGCCCCCCAGGAGCACCAGGGCGGTGGCGGGGCTGGGGGTGCACGACACGGGGGGCTCCCACACACATGTGCCGGTGCAAGTGCAGCCTGTGCAGGCGGGCGCTCACACTCGTGTGCCTGGCGTGTGCGTGTGTGCACAATCACCCCCCCCCCCCAGCTGACACCCCGCAGCCGCGCGTGGGGGCACAGCCATGTGCAGGCGTGTGCAAGCGTGTGCAGGTGTGCAGCAGCCATGCAGGGAGGCGCCCATGGGGCACCAAGAGGCCAGCTCGCGTGCAGAGCCACCACATACATGTGCAGGCACACGCGCACACGCATGGAGGCTCATGTGCCAGCGCCAGGGAGCAGCGTGGCTGGGGCAGGAGCAGGATACGGCCCCGGGGGGGGGCAGCCAGGCAGGGACGAGGGAGGATGCTGTGGGGATCCCCGTCCAGCGCCGCGCGTGGGGAAAGAGTTGTGCTGGGGTCAGGGGGTCCCACCGGCCCCCGCCCCAGCTGCTGCCCCCACCACGGGACCCCCTCCCCGCTCTGCTGCTCCATATGGGCCTGGGCCAAACTCCAGCCAAATGGGCTGGGGCGGGGGGGGGGGGCGTTGCATTTCAAAGCCTCCGGCTGGAGCAAACGCTGCTGCCCCCCCGCCGGGCTGTCACCCGCCCGTGTCCCCTGACCCCAGCACGGCAGGGCTGGTGGGGATGGTTCTGTCCCCTTCCCCAGGGCTGGTGGGGACAGCCCCATCCCCACGGCCGCGGCCGGCACCCACGGAGCTGTGGGGCAGGAGGTGGGGACCTGCTGGTGAGGGGCCTGTGCCGGCTGGCCCCACGCTGGGATGGGACCCCCCCAAGGATCGGGGTCCCTCCTGGGGTTGTGTCTGTGCTGCTGGAGGAGAGGAGCTGCGGGGGGACAGGGGGGTGGAGGGGGCTGGGGCGGTGGGTCATGGGAAAGCCATCCCGCCGTGGGGCAGAGCCATTGTGTGGGGCCGTGTGCCCGCTGCCCGCGAAGGCAGGGGGGCTGTTTGTGACGGGGCAGGCAGGAAGCGGGCAGGCAGCACCGTCCCACCGCCGCCGCTTCCTTCCCCGTGCCGCAAATAGCCGGGACGGGGCGGCCAGAGCGGGGGGCTGCGTGGGGCGGGGAGCTCCGGCCACGGCCCGAGGGGTGCCTGCGTGTGGGGTACCCCGGGCCTTGTCCCTCCAACTTGCTCCACGGCAGCAGGACCCCCCTGAGGGGACCCAGATGCGGTGGGGAGTGGGCACACCCCAGGGCTGGGGCAGGCGGGGTGTGCGGGGCGCGACGGCGTGGCCGGCGCGGCGATGGGG